ATAAAATCCATCCATTATCTTTTACCCGCTTCTTCCATTTTGGGTCACGGGGGTCACCAGTGCCCATGTCCAGCAATCATTGTACGAGGGGCGGGGACACCCTGGACAGGTCTCCAGTCCATCACAGGTACACATAGAGACAAACGAGACAAACAACCATTCACTCTCTCACTCACACCTAGAGACAATTTAGAGTCACCAATCAGCCTAACATGCATGTTTTTGGTCTGTGGGAGGAAACCGGAGTACCCGAACAAAACCCACGCATGCACGGAGAGAACATGCAAACTCCACCCAGAAAGGCCCCCGGGCCGGGATTTGCCCCGAGGACCTGTGTGCTGAGAAGCAGCAGCTCTACCAGTTGCGCCACTGTGCTGCCCCCAACAATAAAATGTAAAAGAAAAACAGTAACAAGATCTAAGATATGAACTAAGAAAGACGTTAACTAAAAATACGCTACGCACCAATAGCACAAAAATAATACGCCAAACTGCAGCACGAACACAAATATATAGTCGAACACGAATATATATATATTTTTTTTTCATTTACCTTTATTTATCCAGGTAGTCTCATTGAGCCACGAGAACTCATTTTCAAGAGAGACCCGTTTAGGGAGCAGATGGGCGTTAAGGGCCTTGCTCATGGGCCCAGAGTGGGGTGAATGAGGGTGGGGGAAGGTGTGGGTGTTTCACCTACCCCACCCACATTTTGATGTTGTCGGTACCGGGGCTTGAACCGGCGATCTTCCGATCACAGGCCCACCTTCTCTAACCTCTGCATCACCACTCATTTCCGCTGTACACGTCGCACTGCCTTATAAGTCGCATCAGTCCAAACTTGTCTAATAAAGTGGAAAAATCTATAAATATGTCACTGTGCTGTATACGTTGCATCTATTATGCGTCACCGCTGACGCCTCATATTTGTTTCACGTCACCGTTGACAACCCAGAAATGTGGGTCAGTGTTGTGCCAAAAATCAATGGGCTGCCAAATGGTGGCTGCGGGAGTGTGCACAGGAGAATTTTTACAAGAATTTAACAAGATTAGCACTTAAAAACAATTATTTGTTTGCTTGAAATTATAGAAAAGGTGTGTTTCACTCTAACTTTTGCTTAATAAATGCACTTTGACGGTCAAATCGGCTGTATTTCAAAACCCGATTTGCATTAGCGTGCATCTGCAGAGGGACGAGCTGCTGTTCATTTCTTCGAAATTTAACAAGATAAACACCTAAAAACAATTGTTTGTTTGCTCGACTTTATAGTAAAGGTGTGTCTCAGTCTAACGTTTGCTTAATAAAAGGACTTTAACGGTCAAATCAGCTGTATTTCAAAAGTATTCGCTGCCTCTGTGCTCCCAGGAGCGTGCAGACAGGGAGAAAAAAAGGAAGGCTTGCTAACTACTAAATAATTTAGTAATTATTTTAGAATGCTTTTGTCCTGTTTTAGTACATTTGAACAAAAAAGTTATTTTGAATCTTAAAAAAAATTATTTAGCTATTTGTTGTACTAGTTAGCTAAAAGGTTTTGCCAAGCTTAGCTTTATTTTTTATTCAAAGTTTCAGATATAAAATAAATGCATGTAAATCTGTAAAAAAAAAAAGAAAAAAAGATAAAGAATAATGCATTTCCAATATTATATATTTTTAATTATTAATTGGATTAAATGACCTTAGCCCCAAATGAATTTTCCTTACAGTTATGATCTCACTGCGCACCACAAATTACAGGCAGCACATCACACAATTTTCAGATTCTGCTCAAGCAGGGTTCCAGAACAAGTCAACATACGCCGGATCTTTAGGAAAGATTTCATTTAGGATAGACATTTTACAGGATAACATATTTATTTTGCCCATCTTTGATGGAAGGTTTAGATGCAAAAGTAAAAAGCAATCTGGTGTGAACGCCTTGCAGGTCCCAGCACCACCTGCACAGAGGACTCCTGCCATCACCAAGGTGTGTGTCTGCAGCTGTGGGAGGGCTTCTCCTGTGACTGCACCATGACCACCTACGGAGGACCTTTCTGCAGCGACCGTGAGTATTACCCCCACCCAGGAGCAACACTCACAGCTCCAACAGCCTGGAAATGGATGAATTCAGTCTTTGTGTTAGATTTGACTGAGCTACACTTGTCACTAAAGTCGTGTTTGTTCGTACGGATTATGTTCTTGTATTTGTGTGCAACCTTTTTTTTATTTTCTTTTTAGACATTTATTGAATTGTTTTGAACATGCAGAGATAATGGTTCAAGCTCTTAATTTAAAGATTAAAAAATATGCAAAGAGCAAATTAAAAACACTTCTGAAGGCTTTTAAATCCTTCTAATAGCTAAAAAGTAATTTTATTTGTCCAGTCATGGCAGGTCAAGCTTCATTTGCTGCCATGTCATTCAAGAAGTGCAAGAATTGTGTTTTTGGTAATATGTGCTGTTAAAAACACCTTTATTAAGAGATAAGAGTACATTACACAATAAAAAAGCCCAGAGGGTGCTATCTTAGGATAATTCGATGATAACAGCGCTGGTAAGAAAGTCAATATGTAAGAAAAATAAGAGAAAACATCTCATGGCTGATGATTGGAGGCACATTTGTTCCCACACTGATTGCAGTTCTGGGTCTGAGGAGAAAACTCAACAAGCTGTAAGAACGTGAGGAGGAGAAAACAGCCCGACGTCCATGATTATAAGTAGATCTGTTCACTCAGACTGATTGCAGGTCTGGATGTGACAGAACTCAGAAAGTGGATGTTGAACGCTCTCTAGCAGTCGTCACCTGGATTGTTGTTTTAATATGTTTGTTTTCAGCGTTAAAACTAAGAAACAAACACGTTGCTTGTATTGATCACGTCTGATAAATCATTCATTCTGTCAAGTCTCTTCCTGTCTGAAACGTCTGCTTCCAACTTAAAAATACATGTAATCTGCTCATTTTACTTCAGGAAACATAAGAGTCAATAGATAAACTCAACTAATACATCAATATAATTATCAAGGATCCTGAACTTAAATAATATGACTTATTCTGGTAAACAACAGAACAGCTTGTTAGTGGAAGAAGTAAAGAAAAAAAAGTTTATTAAACCACAAATATGCATTTATTCCCTATTTTAATACAACTTTAATGAGACTTTTATTATTCAACACAAACACTGAAGATAAATGTTATTTTTTTTTGTTTGCCTTTTAATGTTTAAGTTGACTTAAATGTGTTGTCTCCTAAAACTCACTGGCTTTAATCGTTTAAGCAGCTAAAGTGTGTTGAGCCTTTTTATTCTCCTTTAGCTTGTGTTGTTTGAGCGTCACAGATGACAAGTCAAGTCAGCTGCAGTTGTTCAAAGCAAACAGACAGAGGACTTGTTGTCCTGCAGAAACAACAAAAACAAACGAATTGTAAAGGTAGAGGACAAATCAGGCGAGTCCTCCTAATATTCTCAGTTTCTTGTCCAAACTCTAAACTGATAGCCGTTTATTACAGAAATGTCAAACTGGACAGCAGGACACCTCACAGGTCAAAGGTGATCCCTTTTGATTTCAAGGTCAAAGGTCAAGGTCACAGATAACCTTTATTAAAACAGTGTCCATGCTTCAACTTAGCATCCAAGTAACAGAAATGCCAAACGCTTTGTCCCCTAGACTGTCCCTAAGACAGGACACAGTTTGTCCACAAATGTTCAGGAGAGAAAAATGTCCTCAGACTCTGTCTCCACGTTGGATCTTATTTATATTCAGACCACTTCCACCATAGAACTCCTGAGCGGTTCTGGTTCTGGTGAAGTCTGATCATCAAATGGTTTGGATCATCAACGGTGAGTTTCCGTGTGCGTTTGTGACTCAGTAAACTGTCGTATCCCTGCTCTCTACTGGTTACGGGTTTATTCCGTGCATTCACATTTTCTGCTGCCAACACTAGATGTTTCAGAGCTGTTTTTATACATGGAAAGAAAACTTGACACACATTTTTACCACCACTACACAGCGTGTCACGTAATCTTTTCAACACCCCAGCTCTAATGTCAAGGTCACTAATCAAGGTCAAAGTTTATACAAGAGCTTTGCTTGCCTGAACCATTGCTGTAGATTGCTGTATTGGTGTATAACAGTTTGTTGATGGGCGTATAATGTGCCGTCTGTGGTTCTCATTTGATTTCCTTAAAAATCTAGTCCAGTTCATGCTCAAAATAGAGAAATGTTAAAAATTACAGGAAAAAAAAAACATGTTTAACAAAAATCCAATTTTTGGATGGTTTCATCGCTGTTTGTGGGAGACCTCTCAATCATGCGGATGATGGTAAATGGCATGGCCAGCCAATACCAAAGGTCAAACCGATCCATCAGTCCTGCTCCAGTAAATAACAAGCCTCGTGTTTCACACCCAACCATCATCAGACTCATTAAAGCCGAACGATGTAGGCTCATCCATCCATTGTCTTTACACGCTTCTTCCTTTTTGGGTTGCAGGGGTCACTGTGCGAGAGGCGGGGGCCCTGGACAGGTCTCCAGTCCATCATAGGGACACATAGAGACAAACGAGACAAACAACCATTCACTCTCTCTCTCACTCACACCTAGAGACAATTTAGAGTTACCAATCAGCCTAACATGCATGGCTTTGGTCTGTGGGGGGAAACCGGAGTACCCGGAGAAAACCCACACATGCACAGAGAGAACATGCAAACTCCACCCAAAAAGGCCCCGGCTGGGATTTTATCCGGCAACCTTCTCGCTGAGCAGCGGAAGCTCTACCCACTGATCCACCGCCACCGTGCCGCCAATACGCTGTAGGACCTTAACGTAAAAACGTGAACAGCACATCGTTTACTAGCTGTATTATCAGTTGTCTTGTGTAATCTATAATCTATCTTTTTGTTAATCTTACTAATACAAATATTCTTGTAGTCTTTCTCTTGATGGTCAGGAGCTTATTCCAACACCATTTTAACATTTAACTCATTAAAAAAACAAAATGGGAAAACAGTAGGAACTTGCCTAACATCTAATTCTTAATAAATGTTTGTCTAGATGCATTGATATCCAGGTACAGAAATCACTTTATCAGGTTTGTTATACAGTAGTCTCTCATTGCTTCGCGGTTCGTTTTTTGCGGGTTTACTATATTGCGGTTTTTCAAAGTAAGATTAGATATGACACAATTGGCTGATTGATGGATGAGCCATGTATTGTTTACTTAAAATAAATTATTTTAAATAATTTTGCACCGTGTGTGCAGCCCACCAGTGAAGGAGAAGCTCCCACCTGCAGCTGATCAGCTGATCTCCTTTCTGCCGCACACATTTCTCCTGCTGCAGCCTTTGCTGTCCAGATGCACAGATCGACTTTTGTCTTCCAAATTAAAATTCAAATTATGTCACATCGTAAAAATCATCACAATCACAAAGTATAAAAGTGTTAAAAGTTATTTTTAATTATTTTAGAACGTCTATGTTCAGTTGTTTCAGTGTAATTGATCAACAAGTACATTTCTGCTCCGTGCTGCAGAGCTGGAGCTGTGACATCTCTTTGATGTCCTGCTGCACTTCTCTTCTCTACAGTTTAAATTTAAATACTGCAACAATTTAAATAAACAGCCCATGCTGCATGGATTGTTTATTTTATTGATTATTTATTTTATATGGGGGAGTGGTGGCGCAGAGGTTAGAGGAGGTGGGTCTGTGATCGAAAGATCGCCGGTTTGAGCCCCGGTACTGACAACATCAAAAATGTGGGTGGGGTAGGTGAAGCACCCACACCTGCCCCCACCCTCATTCACCCCACTCTGGGCCCATGAGCAAGGCCCTTAACCCCCATCTGCTCCCTAAACAGGTCTCTCTTGAAAATGAGTTTGCGTGGCTCAATGAGACTACCTGTATAAATAAAGGGTAAATGAAAAAAAAATATATATATATATATATATATTTTTTTTTTTTAAATATTACAGTATTTAAATTTAAATTGTTTATTGAAGGAGGGATATTGGGAGTAACAGGTGATTGCAGCCTGGCACACGTCATGACAAAGTTTACTGAACTTGAACTTGGGCTACTGCATCCCTACTTCACGGTTGTCACTTATCGCGGGTGGGTGTGGTCCCAAACACCAGCGATAAACGAGGGACCACTGTACATTTCTGTTTTTATTACTTCTGGGTCATCGGTCATTACCGGAGTCACACGGACCGATGTTCAGCTCACGGTTACGTGTGGGATGTGTAATTATTGGTTAACCTCTGCAGTTACAGATAATTGTTTTAATATATTTATTATTTGTGCCATTGCTTTGTGTGAGAGAAACGATAATCTGTGCAGCCTTTCTGACTCTAAAATTGTTTCCAAATGGTGCTAATCTAAACCTAATGGTATTCCTTTCATTATAATAATTTCTTTGTTATCTGTCCAGCCATCCATTATCTTTACCCGTTTATTCCATTTTGGGTCACGGGGGTCGCTGGTGCCCATGTCCAGCAATCACTGTGCGAGGGGCGGGGTACACCCTGGACGGGTCGCAAGTCCATCACAGAATTTCTTTGTTATACTCAGCATATTTTTTAGTCCTAAAAGGTATTTGACAATCTCTGAGATTGCTGTATAATTTGGCATGACATGAATTCTACCAAGACTCGTGATTTTACCTGAGTGCCTCCAACAACTCCCAGTGATTGACCTCCGAGTCCTCCCACTCCATCCCGGTCGTGTCAGTCAACGTATGAGAACGACGCCATGAGCTGAACAAATGTAAGAAAGTCCACCTGATGTGGCTTCATATAACCGTCTGCAGAGGTGAACCCACCTAAACCGAAACCCGTAAGTCAACATATTCTGTGGACTGCTCCAGTCCTGTTATACTTTTCAGTTTTATTTATCAAACAGAGAGGCGTAGAAATATCCCGATGTTTAACTGATGTAAACTGTGTGATTGAGGCACGCCGCAGTTAAAATGTTCTTGTTCTGTATAAAAATAAAAGCTACATTTGAAATTAAGTAAAGTATTACACTTTTTCTTAAATCTCCCAAAGCTTTTCCCATGCTTTTTAAACAACCGT